GTTGTTTATCCCTGGCTTGGACTGAACCATAATGAAGACTTTTCCTTCAACAATTGGATAGGAATCCCCCATGATGGTGATATTTGACTATTCCTGCATTCCATGCCACAAAACGTTTCTATTTCTTTGCTAAATGACTTAAAGAATGCCTGTCACCGAAGAATCAGAAAGCCAGCCTGCTTTTCTTAACAACTTAAAGACCAAGGTTTTTCTCAGAAGTCTATGGAGATTCTCAATCATCCAGGTCATGGTTGTCCTTAAGGTGCTTTTTCCAAAAGACAACTGAACTTTCTTGGGGGTTTTCCCCCCCTGAAAACATTTTATGTATCATCCAAGAAGCTTCTTCAGTTCTGAAATGAACAGGACTTCAGAACTGAAGAAGCTTCTTGGATGAGAAGCAAAGTATTTTCAAGGAAAAAAAAACCCAAGAAAGTCCAGTTGCTTTTTGGAAAAAGCACTTTTGGGACTTTTCTCAGAAGTTGGTTAGAGACCTTTTGTAATCTTATCTGATATAATTCATTGTTGGATTGCCTCGGTAATAAGTTTGCATTTCTTTTTAATACATGAAAAGTACATTATATACACTATACAACAGCTTATTCCTGTTTCCCTGTGTTTTTTTTAAATTGCATCCCATCCTGTGTCATTTTGTGGACGAGACTGAATAAATCAACTAAATGCATACATAAATACTTACATAGTAGTAAAAAGCATAAACAAGAGGGAGATGCAAAGGAAACAGCCATACTATCTTACTCAACTTGTGTCTCTTTCTAATTAAAAATAACAAGCACAATAGCTTTGAAAAAGGATGGCCCACAAAATGCATTTTAATTGAAATTAAGTGAAACACTGAGCAGCAGATGATGTTGCAATATGCAAAACTTTCGCAAAGTATTCATCCTCAAAATTAAGTGTGCATGCACTGTGCAATTAATTACACTAGTCATTTAACAGCAATTGGAGTCGCTCCAGTAACTCTGACGTGTATAATCATAATAATCAGCCTGTTTGAGGATAAATAGCGTTCTTTTAGATTCCTTTGAAAGGTAGGGTGAATCTTGATCTATTGGGGTTTGAGTTGTCTTACTTGGCTAGTACCTTGTTGATTATGTTCTCTGTAGACAAATCTTGGCTTAAGTGAATTCATAAAAGTTACCTGATCAAAACTGGGTGAGATTTATTGGAACTTAACTTCTGTGTATTTTTTTAAAAAAAATTAGTCAGCCCATGCCAATTGAATAACAAGGAACGAAGTATAGATTGAAGAATTAATGGCTTAGGATTTGATCAAAGATTGCTCTTTGTGCCATATGGATATTCTGCTTCTAATTTAATTATTTCAAAGGGCTAGAAAAAAGGTCAATCTTATCAAGTGTATACAAAAATCAAATCTATCTCCTTTCCTTCCCTTCCTTTCCCTTTCTCCTTTCCTCTCCCCCTCCCCCTCCCCTTCCCACCTGCCTCCTTGCCTATTTACTTAAAACTCTCTCTCTACCAAAATCTTGCAAGTCTTTAAATGCTCTCATCTAAGACAGGACTTTTCAACCTTTTCACCCATTGTACCACTTTTAGGATATGGCAATATCCGAGTACCACCAGTCGCCTAGCAAGGTGTCAAAAACTTGATGACCCCCCCCCAAAAAAAAAACAGAAAAAAGTGATAAAGTACAGGTAGTCCTCGACTTAAAACAGTTTACTTAGTGATTGTTCGAAGTTACAATGGCATTGAAAAAAGTGCCCCCCAAGCCACAGCTGAGCAAGACACCTGCCTGCCCACCTGGCGGTACTCTTTCCTCCTGACCGAGGTTTTCATTGTTGTGAGCATTTCTGTTGACGATTGGCAGCAGGGGTGGGGTGGGGGGGGTATTTGGTTTTTATTCCCCCCGTCTGCTAGGTGGTTGCAGCAGGTTTTGATCACTTCACATGACCCTGGGACACTGTGACCGTCATAAATACGAATCAGTCACCAAGCATCTGAATGTAAATCACAAGACCCTGGAGATGCTGCAACATTCCAGCTGATCAGTGCTTCTTCAGGGCTCAGCAGAAGCACCAGGATCAGCGCCAAGCTCCAGCTGGACCCTGGCGCTGATCCTGGTGCTCCCACTAAGCCCTGACAGCCCCGAAGAAGCACCAATCAGCTGGAAAGCGGCACTGATCCTGGTGCTTCCACCGAACCCTGACAGCCCTGCAGCTCCAGCCGTCTCTCGCTCAGGCTTGTGCGGTGCTACCACCGGGTCAGCTCATTCCCCTCCCCCGCTATCACTTTTCTAGGATGGTCATGTACCACCTGCCAGGTGCCAATGTACCACAGGTGGTACCCACACCACTGGTTGAAAAGCCCTGATCTAAGATGCCTTCCTGCCTGAGCAGGGGATTGGACTAGAAGACCTCAAAGGTCCCTTCCAACTCTATTATTGTTACTGTAAGACGAGAATGCTGGAAACTCAGACATTCTGCCCTGGAATCTTGCAAGATAAGACAAACACATGAGATTTATGGCATATTTTAATCCTTCGATCAATATTGAGTTTTATGACTCCATAACTCTGTTAGGAATTGTGAAACCGAAAGGATAATGCTTTGACGTTGCCTAAAGACATCCATTTTATACTGAGCTGTCCCATGCATAAAGATATTTCTAATAGAAGTTCTCTGTGATCCAATTATAAAATATTTATTTAGAAAAACAATGAAGGAGGAATGAAACAATAGTTAGCAACTGAATGGCAGCCTGAGAATCTGGTCAAAATCTTTCCAGCTATGGTATTAACACCTATATTAAAAATGAAATTAGACTTCCTTGATTCAGTTGAATTTTCTGTACTGTCACCACATAAACTGGAACTGAAAATAGGATCTCCCATTATTTTAATGAGGAAACTGCATCTTTTCCATTGAACAAATATGAGAAGAACTCCACAAGAATCTCATTGTGTGAGATTCAAACGTGTGTGTTAAAAAATGATACTGTCATGATTCCAAGAATTACACTCATTTATCAGAAAGTGAAAATGTCCCTCTTCAGCAGACACAGTTCCCCATTCATTCATTCATTCATTCACTCACTCACTCACTTACTCACCCACCCACCTACCCATCCATCTATCCATTCATTTTATTGCCACCGAATTCAATCAAGTGACTCTGGATAGCTTGCAAGTCTACAACTGTAAAACAATTAAACAATTTAAAAGACAGCAAAATAATATTTGTTCTCACTACACACAAAGTACAAGGACAACCCATGGAAAAGTTGCTGTTTTCGCTGGAGAAACTGATATTTCAGCATAGTCAGCTGTACGTTGCTTTAAGCCAAGGAAAAAGAAATGAAAACATTACAGTATTCCTAAAGAATGGCACATCAACCACAAGTATTGTTATCGAAAGTGTCCTTTGTTAAATGAAAAATATCTATATTTCTTTTGCTGCACGTCTTTCTTCTTTAATAAAATGGCCATTCTATTTTTTCTGTTTAGGTAAGGAAATATCTCTGAAAGGAAGACCCGCGGGTCACAGGTTGTCCAATAATGCAATATAATCTGACACTGCATTTATCACAAATGCTCTATGTAACCACAAAATGTGTAGCTTTAAAAACAAGAACAGTTCTACAGATGTTGTGCATTTTCCACTAGCACACCTTGATCTGGTTTAGGAAAAGAATCAACCAAATAGAATAACCAGCTTATTTAATCTATAAATCATAATTTGAAATAGTCACTTCCATTTTCTCTAATTCATTGCAACAGACAATATTTAAAAGCAGGACCAGTATGTTCACCCAGGTAAGCTCTTTTGAATGAAGGCAAATATACATGTCCCAGTATAAATTTGCAGGATTCAATCTGAGTCAGTCACTGGGTCCAGAGGTTTAGTCTTTCAAGCTCATGCTGGGACCCATTCTCAAGGAACGTCTCTCTCCAGTATGTGTGCATTGGGTTGATCTATGTGTTGTACCCATGTTTTCCCAAAAGTAAGGCCTACCCCGAAAATAAGCCCTAGTTTTGGCGCGAGGCACACACTTAAAAATCAAGCTAGGGTGGGGGTGGGGGGGGAGCTGTCCCACCTGCCCCGCACCCACTTATCTTGCAGCCAGGCCTCTCCTCACTGGCCCACTTCTTCTTCTGAGGCCTCTTCTGTAGCCAGGCCTGTATTTCTCAGTTCCAGGGCTTTCCGGAAGGTCTGTGCAGCCAAAAACCAAGCTATGGATTCAATCCGTAGCTCGGTTCTGCAAGACCTCAGCAGCCGAGCACCAGGAAAGGCCTGACTGCACAATGCAGGCCCGAATGCAGCTTCAGAATTTCAGCCCCAGAAGAAGCGGACTGGCTGGGTGGGGCTGTCAGTGCTGGAGGTGAGGTAAGACCTACCCTGAAAATAAGACTCTGTCTTATTTTCGGGGAAACACTATATTTATGTGGTACCTGGTTGTGTGTGGCTTTTAGTTGTTAATTGGGGCATTGATGGCTGCCTATTAAGTCACTGGTTGTTGTTTCCTTGTGCTGTCGTGTCCTTGCTGCTAAGTAAGTGGCAGCACAGGAAAAACAACCAATGATTAGATTAGATTAGATAACCTTTATTGTCATTTTTTTCCTGTGGGCACAATGGCACACATTAACAAAATGAAATTTAGTTGCTTTCTCTCAAAGTGTACACATACATAACACACATTTAAAACATACTATATACAACATATGTACAGACTTACAATGACTGAATAGTTGGCCATCAACACCCCAATTTATAACTAAGTGTCACACACAACCAGGCATCACATAAATACGACACACAGAACAGCCCAGTTCCCTGAGGGTGGGCTCCATCATGAGTCCAAAAGCTTGGAAGACTGACTCAGATTGAATCCTGCAAGATAAACTGTTTTTTCCTAATGTAAATTAGAAATAATAAATTAGTCCTGGACATAATGAACTATTTGGACAACAACTGGACAATGATTGCTTTCAATGACATAAAGATGTAAGGTTCAGAAGACTTACTGGTGCAGGTCTTGTTGAATTTGGGGTTCTCCTGAGGGGACCCCTTCAGTCGGCACTGGAACCGATGCTGCCAAAATTCCTGAAACCATGGATTTCGCTGATTGGTTTCTGGCTGAAGTTTCAGGTAATATTCATCAAACCACTTCACACCAGGAGACTGGAGCTTGATTGTTATTCCACCAGCAGCTTCATGCTGGTAGCCTTCTGTCACATCATACCTGTCTGCCCAGCCATCACTGCAAAGATAAAAATAAAAATAAAAAGAAATGTTTTTGTAGGGAGAAGTCTCCTTTGAACCATGAAAGGGAATTACTGAAATATATTCTTGGCAATAACCAGGGCATCTGAAGTTAACAAGGGCTATGGAGCAGACAAAGAAGGCAGAAAAGACAAATTTTATTCTTAGACTAAGTGCATGCAACAGTCTTAGGGTTCCTTCAGGTTTAAATTGTTTATGTCCTCATTGGAAGTGAGTTGAGTTTTGGCTGTTATCCTGGATAGCAGCTCATATTCCAATTCAGAGGAAGAGTCACCAGCCAAATTAGATCAACCAGAGCAGAAGTAGGCAACCTTGGCTCTTTTATGACTCGTGGACTTCCAACTCCCAGAATTCCTGAGCCAGCATGGCTGGCTCAGGAATTCTGGGAGTTGAAGTCCACGAGTCATAAAAGAGCCAAGGTTGCCTACCCTTGAACCAGAGGCATCAGTTGGAAAGCATCAGACTGAAAATCTGGACCTAGAATTGTTTGGAACCTGTTTCAGACCGTACGTACCTGCCGAGGTCTTATACAATTATTCCACAACTAAGGCAACAAGCCTAGAACAAATTAAATTAATAATTTGAAATGAAGACTAGAAGAGTATTCTTGTAAAGCATAGTGGCTAGTTCATAAGCTGGATTTGTTAATTTATTGGTTGTGAATGGCTCCCGGAATGTTGATTATGATTTCTCATGGGATTTAGCATTATGATTATACAGTTTAGTATTTTGCAAGGGTTTAATTGCAGGGTCACTCAACATTTTGGGTAATTGCTGACTGGGTTATGGGGTTTGTTTGAAATTTTTGATCTGGTGCCACCCATTTTTTTTTTTTTTAACTTCAGGGAATGTAGGCCATTATACCATTTAAATATATATGAAATGCTGGATCTTTGCTGTGGAACTGACTGAAGCCATCTTGAGAAGTTTGTGGTATATTCTCACAAAAAGTCTGTTTTAGGAATGGTTTCATATGTCTTCTGGATTTGGCTATGTTCTCTTTTCCCTATGATGAAACTCATGTTTCTATAACTCACATGAGCTTGTAAATTTGTGAAATAATCTGATAGATAATTTGTCTTGGAATGTTATAAATTTGCAGATTAAGCTGCTCTTGAAAACCTCTTTGGAAGCTCAAACTTGTAGTAATGGAGAATACATGTAGCTCAGGTTGAATTGTTGGGTTCTTGGCAAGCTTATTTTTTTTCTCTTGCAGATATTTCATTAATAAGCGGGGCTTGATGAATTACCAACAATATACTTCCATCAAAGTCCTGCCTCTATTTTTAACATAAAATCATTGGTTATTGATTCACTTTAGAGCCAGATTCAAAGTTTTGGTTTTGTACTATAATATTTTGCATGTTTTAAGTTATTCTTAAGGATTGTGTCCTCCTACAGTAACCTGTCTGAACATCAGGTTTATTCAGGAAAGGGGAAAGGACTCTCCAAAAATACGCACTCTTCCTTGACCATATTAGTCTTCTCCAGACTTAGAGCTTTCAGATGTATTGAAATTACAGTTTCCAGAATTTCCAGCCCATCTGGCTGGAAGTTACTGGTTGAAGATGTTTTACTTGATTTCACTGGAAGAAGATCACACTTAAAATGCTGGAAATTATACCTTCGATTATGGTTTAACTGAAACTGTATTATCTTATTTCTTTATTGAAATTCTTTATTGAATTTAAATGTCTTTGAGGGTACAGGACGTCCTCAACTCACAGCAGTTCATTTAGTGACTGTTCTAAGTTACAATGGCACTAAAAACAAGTGACTTATGAACATTTTTCACACTTATGACCGTTGCAGCATCCTCATGGTCACATGATCAAAATTCAGAGGTTTGACAACTAATTCATATTTACGATGGTTGCAGTGTCCCTGGGTCATGTGGTCTTCTGACAAGTACAGTCAATGGGGAAACCAAATCAGCTTAACAATCGTGTTACTAACTTAATAACTGCAGTGATTCACTTAACCACTGTGGCAAAAAAACTGTCTTGCTTAACAACAGAAATTTTGGGCACAATTGTGGTCGTAAGTTGAGAACTACCTGTACTTTTCTATTGCTTTTTTTCATATTGTGTTGCAAATTGCTTTTGGATTAGTATTAGTGAGTAGCCAGACCATGTCAGAGAGGGAGGGAGGGAGGAAGGGGAGGAAGGAAGGAAGGAAGGAAGGAAGGAAGGAAGGAAGGAAGGAAGGAAGGAAGGAAGGAAGGATGGATGGATAGATAGATAGATAGATAGATAGATAGATAGATAGATAGATAGATAGATAGATAGATAGATCAGTGTTTCCCAAACTTGACAATTTTAAGGCATGTGGACTTCAACTCCCAGAATTCCACAGCCAGCGTTGAGATAGATAGATAGATAGATAGATAGATAGATAGATAGATAGATAGAAAAAGAGAGCTAGAGAGAGACTAATAGATAGAAAATAGGGGGAAAGGAGAAAGACAAGAGACAATGTGTAAGGGAAAAAAAGAAGAAAACATGCCTTTTAAATATTTCTGCTTTTGTTCTTATTCACCACTGGAATGTGGCTTTTCTCAAATTGTCACAAAAGTACAGGGGTCCTAAAAAGGCATGAAAGAAACAAGATTGATTCCCACGTCTGATTTAGCAGATGCGCCTTCAATTTGTTCTTATGTACCTCTTCACTGGCACATACTTATCCTTTTTATAGATAAATTATTGTACTGCTGAATTTTAGCTGACACTTCAGCAACTGAACTTTCATTGGGATCCCTAGCTGATCCCCCACACAAATCACACGGAATGATGTAAGAGGGATTACTTCACCCATCAACGAAAAATCCTGCAATTACTGGAAGACAATTTTGTCCAATAAAGCCACAATATATGATGAAAATAATATAACAGAGCAACTATTTGTCCAAATCTCTGACAGTTTATTGGGGCAGTAAAAACAATGGCAGGAAATGAACTACATCAGCACCAAAGTCTATGTGGAGGCAGTGGTTGGAAGAGAGATGACCAAATTTTGGATTTCATGGATACAGGAAAATGTAGGACACTTTTGCCCTCTACCAACATCTAAACTCCTTTCATTGGTATGCAGGTAATCCTCGACTTAAGACCACAATCGAGCTTCACATTTCTGTTGTTAAGTGAGACATAAGTGAGTTTTGTCCCATTTAGCGACCTTTCTCGCCGCAGTTGTTAAGTGAATTGTTGTAGTTGTTAAATCAGCAACCCGGTTGTTAAGTGAATCTGGCTTCCCCATTGACTTTGCTCATCAGAAGATCATAAAAGGTGATTATATGACCCCGGGACACTGCAGCTGTCATAAATATGAACCAGTTGCCAAACATTTGACTTTTGAACCCATGATCATACGGATGCTGCAAAGGTCGTAACTGTGAAATGCTGCAAAGGTCGTCAGTTACATTTTTCAGTGTTGTTGTAACTTGAAACGGTCACTAAAGGAACAGTTGTAAGTTGAGAACTACCCATAATGTGGAGAGCCTGTAACCATAGCTGGGTTTCCAAAGGTTTTGTGCCTAGACAAAATGTTTGGGACTCTAGCTGTTTTTTTTTGTTTTTGTGGGTTGAATGGAAGAACTGAAGGAAAAGACTCAGCCTTCTTTTGAACAGTGGAACAAGTAGACATTACTAGATGATGCACTTCATGGGAACATGACCACTACTTGAATATTTTAACTATAAGCTGAGCATATGTGTAAACTCTATACCAGTGATGGCAAACCTTTTAGAGACCGAGTGCCGAAAAACCGCTCCGCCCCCCACCCACAGGGCCACCCCCTACCTCCACGACCCGCCAGAGATCGCCCAGGTGGCCCTGCAGCGTCGTATATCACAAGGAGACTCCAGATGGGTAGAGTCAAAACCTCCATTAATGCAACCTTGACCCAATCTGGCAACCTCAAGATGTGTTGGGAAAGTTAGGACAGGAAAGTTAAGGTGAGTAATTCCAGCTAAGATTTTGCATATCTGGTGCTTCCCAGATTAGGTTAAAAAGGTAAAGGTTTCCCCTCTCCAATTGTGTCTGACTCTAGGGCAGTGATGGCGAACCTTTTAGAGACCAAGTGCCCCAAAACTGGCCCCGCTCCTGCTCCACCCCTGCCCTGCCCCCACCCCACCTGCCTGCAGGGCCACTCACTACCTCCAGGGCCTGCCGCAGATCGCCCAGGTAGCCCAGAAGTGCCATGGTGGCCACACCATCTGCCCACACCCCGTAACATCAACTGTGTGTGATGGGATGTGAGGGCAGTCTTGTCTACGCTGCCTGGGTGCCATGTCCTTGGCTGCGCTGCTCCACATGGGCAAAGCTCAGGGGTGACCCTCCTCCAGGGGGCTGCTGGTGAGGAGGGGGCCACTGGGGGGAGGTGGGGCTGGGGCAATGGTGCGTGTGCCCACAGAGAGGGCTCTGAGTGCTGCCTCTGGCACGCATGCCATAGGTTCGCCACCACTGCTCTATACTGATCCCTATATAAAGTTTGACAAGACTATTCGATCATGACTCAGGCTGGTGAAAATTGTGATTTTGGAGAAACACAACTGGCGTAGATAGGATCAAGGAGGACTACCTTATACAGAATTCAAATAAGAAACTGAAGATGAAGATGACCATGAAGATGAAGATGGAGTTGATGGGTGAAGGCCAGGATGAGGATGATTACTACAGCTTGTTCCAGGTGGGTACGTTGATTCTTCCAGGGGTCACTGTAGTACAAAAAAATAGCATTTCAACACAAATACTGTCAAAACCACACCATAATGACTATGGAGATTCTCAGTCATCCAGGTCACAGTTGTCCCAAAAGTGTCTTTTTTCAGGAGGCAACTGGACTTTCTGGTTTTTCTTTGAAGACATTTCGCTTCTTATCCAAGAAGCTTCTTCAGCTGATGAGAAGCGAAACGTCTTCAAGGAAAAACAAGAAAGTCCAGTTGCCTCCTGAAAAAGCACCTTTGGGTCAACCATGAC